AGTGGAAGGGAATGAATATAAAGTTATATAATGGTAGTATTGGAGTGATATTGTAGCTGTGAGTGGCCAGGAAATATTCTGGAGACGAGGATTTTTTGTGGGTGACATCTTTTATTGGACTAAATGCATGTTGGGATTGACTTAGACAAGTTTTGAAATGTAGTGTATTCTTCTTCAGGTCTGAGGACTAAGCCAGAGGTGATATTTTTTGCCCCTAGGAACCTAAGTTTCTGAAGGGCCTATGTCAGAAGCCTCTGGATCCTTAGTAACTCAGGCACTCTTGCAAATATTGTCCAAATATTACCCAAAAGAGTTGTGAGCTCCTTGTAAAAGGGGCTTTTTTCATTTTTGGATATGGCACGGAATGCTGATGTTGCCTAAGAATCCAGTTTTACTCTGCTTCTCTTACAAATAGTCATTTATGCCCTAGTTATATGACAAACTGGTGATGTCCCCTGGGTACAGACCTGTGGATTCTGTCCAAAGGAATAAAACCCAATAAACCAAGTGCTAGGTTAAAAAGGTAATACAATATTCTCCTGCAGTACCACTGGATAGGTATAAATGGAGGGAAGTGGTGTGACTAAAATGATGAAGAGGGATTGGAATGGAAAGTCACTCCTAGAGTCCTCAATGCTTGTTCTAAAGACCACTTTGGGTGAAAACTAAGGTGAACATACTATGGAGTTACCCTTGTGCATGTGCAGCCTTAAAAATAACTATTTACTATATTTACTCAAATACAAGATAAGGTTTCCCCCCACAATCACCATGAGAAAACAAAGCCCCTCATGTTTGCATACAAGAAAACCTCATGAAATACACTGTCTAGCATTAAACTGCTGCCAAAAGCAGCATGCGCTCCGTAATGGAAACCACCTATGAAGTTGGTTAACTGTAGCCAACACTGTGCATGGCTATAAAACACATGGCTCCTATTGGGCAAACTTTTTTTTGGAACATTTTTCATGTACCAGGTCAAATTAGCCAGATCAGTTCTGAATCCTTTGAATCGTTCAAAAGCCTTTGTGGCCCTACTACTGGCAAGTATCCTTCATCCCAGACTTTTCAGCTTGGGGCTTCAGATATTTCCATATTCTTTGGTAGGCATCCTATGTGCAGGCCCAAGCCCAGAGACTTGGAGTTAGGATGCCCCCAAGATTCATTTGCCCTCAGCTGCATGGTCGCAGGAGCAAGCTAGGGAGGAGGTAACCATTTCCATAAAGTTGGCATGTAGCTGAGATCCTCCCACTGGAAGCTGGCCAGTGAAAAGTATGAGGTTCTCATAGCGAGTCCTGTCTATTAGCAGATAGTGATGTACCTTCCACTACACAGTGCCATTTTAAAACATATTTTGTCTCAGTTACCAAACCAATGTGACAACTACACTTGATCTTAGCCCACAACATAGTGGGGATGTTAGGATGGCCTAGCTGAATAAAATATATGGCAGTGCCCATTGAGCACAGTCCTCATGAGTGCCAACTCTTTTTCAAGTCATGGTGAGCTGTTACATTTAATACATGTCAACTTCCCCTTCACTCCCACAATGGAGCTGTGCCTTTCTTTCCCATTCCCAATGATTCCTGTTTCTTCAACAGCCTTAAATGTTTGGCAAACATCATTAAACACAGCCCCAAACAGTTCACCCAGCATTCCTCTGCTGCCCCCTCTTTTAGCCTGTTATATATGGCTAGTGTGGCCCCACCCACCAGCTGGTGGAGCCTGACCAGGTTGCTCTGTGCCTCATCTGCATATAAAGTTTTGGAGGATCCAAGAACACCCAGTTTCAGTTATGAGTAGGGGGCTAATTAGCACATGGCTCCTTTGTGGAGGGGTAGCTGGCGTCAGGGCAGTCCCTAGTGGGAGTGAATCAGGGTGACTGCCCCGGCTCCCCTCCCCCCCTCCCCCCTGCTGCCGATGCTGCCACACTTCTTCAGGTCCGGGGCCTGGATTGGAGTGGGCGTGGGGCCCCACATGGGCTGATTTGCCTTGGGCCCCGCACCCTGCTCAGGTCAGCTCTGGCTGGAGTACACACACATACTGGGCAGTGCTGAGCCTTGGGATCACCATTGCTTTAATTGTTGTTGACATTGCTGGGACCTATGCCAATGATCATGAGCCTGTTGCATTTGGATCAATATCTTACGCTGTTTGCACTCTTGTGGGCTAAGATCGAATGTAGGGAGTACCTGAAGTTCCAGACTAAAAAGCCCAGGATTGGAGGATGCTTACCTGTAGTATCTGGGGGCATCCGAACCCCAAGACCTCTGGGGTTTGGATACCTGTATGTAGGATGCCTGCCAAAGGATTTGGGAGTATCTGAAGTCCCAGGGTGAGAGGTCTGGGATGGAGGATGCTCACCAGTTGTAGCCCCATACATGGTGTTTAGAACAATTGCGTTCTGCCTGCTCAATCAATATGCTTTTTGGAACAATTAAGTTCTGCTCAATCAATGTGATTTGGAACTGATTTGGCTAATTTGACCTGGAGAATGAAATATATATATAAAAGTAGATACAAAACTTGTTGCTTAAAAGCATATTTATTGAGTACCTTTGCTAAAACTTGCAGCAGTTTCAAAAAAGGTAACATGCATCAATAGTGGATGAATTAAGCCTATGGGTACCTGTAGTAATGTTCTCATATGTAAATGACTACAGGTATGTTTACTTACTTTCATGTGCTCAGGGAGAGCAGAGTCTGACTGTACAGAGGTGGGGGGAAGGGACTGCAAGAGGAAGAAGTTGCGGGGAGGCAGAGGCAAGGGGGCTATCTGACCTGAGATCTATTTTCCCTGCTATAACAGTGGGAAGGGGACAAATTCAAGGCAAACCTCCAATAATTAGATTCTATACCTGGAAAATTATAACAAACTTATGAATTTTCCATATATAGAGTCTAATTATTGGAGGGGGGGAGGTCATCTTATCTTTGGAATCATCTTAGATTTGAGTAAAATGCAGTAGTAGCTCAAAAAGTTGTTAATGGAAAGCCAAGCACTGGCAAAATAAATAGAGCTTGAATCTGTAGATTTGAGCCATCATCTTGTCATGCATGTAAAGACTACAAACGGGCTGGAGACTAATGAAAGCTGTTGAAGTCAAATGATAGGTCCGATCATATTTAGTAGAAAAATCTAGTTAGTATGCAGGGTGCTCCCTTTAATTATTGTTTAAAGGGCACAGGAACATAGTTAACCAGAAAGAAAATTAAAAATAGGCAAAGTTGAAGTGGCTGTTTATTTGTAAGCACATGGAGGGAGGGAATGATACAGATCCCAGGGGGTGAGAGCACTTGTCATAATAGAGAGTGGGGAAATGCATTGTATTATATATGATTTATATTACAATAGCACTTAAAGCCTTACCAGAGATCCTCTCTGTTGTGCCAAATACCATATGAACACAATGAAGAGGAGGGACTTATGAGGAGAGGTTGAGGGAAATGGGCTTATTTAGTCTGGGGAAGAGAAGACTGAGGGGGGATTTGATAGTAGCCTTTAACTACATGAAGGATGGCTACAAAGAGGATGGAGTTAGACTGTTCTCAGTGATGGCAGATAACAGAACAAGAAGCAACGGTCTCAAGTTGCAGCAAGGGAGGTTTAGGTTGGATATTAGGAAAAACTTTCTCACTAGGAGGACAATAAAGCACTGGAACAAGTTACCTAGAGAGGTGGTGGGATCTCCATCCTTGGAGGTTTTTAAGGCCTGGCTTGACAAAGCCCTGGCTGGGATAGTCTAGTTGGGGATGGTCCTACTTTGAGCAGGAGGTTAGACTAGGTGACTTCCTGAGGTCCCTTCCCACTCTAGTTTTCTATGATTCTATATATGCCACCACCCACTTACAGTGCCCCTCTGCTGTCTTTGATGGACAGACTGGGAAATGTCTATGTGACAGAACACCGCTCTGACAACAGCTGCAGGAAGAGACACAAACCACACGGCTAGCTGTTTTCAGACAACAAACTTTTAAAAACTGATTTGAACAGGAAACTGGAGAACAAGAAATCATCCACAGGCTGGATTGAGTTAAGTATGGTTTAAACAGGAGCTATGGATTCTTACCCCATTACCTGGGTTAACTTTGGTGACTCCTTTGTTCTTCTGGGTTTACTGCTTGTTTGCTTGTCTCTCTCAGCACTGGCCCCCTCTTCCCTCTCCCTGCATCTCTCTCCCCTACTTCATTGTCTTTTGCATTCTAATTTCTCTCTCCTTCTTATACTCGGCTTTCTGCCCATCCTTTCACAGCATCTGATGAAGTGAACTTCAGCTCACAAAAACTTGTGCTATATATATCTATATATCTATATCTGTATCTATATCTATATCTACCCTGGTTAGTTTATACGGTGCAAATTTCCCCTGCCTTCTTCCTGGTTCAAAAGTCAGGATCTTATGGTCAGTCTTCCCTTCTGTCTGCCACTGGAAATTACCATTGCATGAGCAGTCATAACTCGTCAGTGTCATAAAGAGTCGTGTTGCTGCAACTGCTGCATTCTGAACAAGCCGTCATCAACAGTGGAAGCATAATGGTGATTCTCACAGATGTAGTTGAGCAACAGCATGAAAAACCTCTCACATTTAACACCAAGTGGAAAAGTGGTGTGACACTTTTTGACCACTTCTGTCTCCAGCACACATTTCTCTAGGCTTTGCTTGGTCAGGCTTCTGAGAGTTATCGGAGAGTGTAGGGCCAAGAGCCTGAGGAGGCAGGGCCAGCTGGCTGTGGTGTTTCATCTATTCTCAAATGTCAGCCCTTGGGCCACATTACCAGCCTTGGGCCTGGAGTTTGCTTGGATCTGGCTTGAGAATCAGGAAGATGTGTGCAGCTAGCCCCTTCTACCCATACTGAACCCCAGTCTCTCAATGGGAATTGCCTCATAGTCTCTCCATAACATGACTTGGCCCACTGAATCAACAGAGGGACTTAATTTGTGGCCTGTTTACCGGAGTCTCTATGTAGCTGTGATAGCAACCAGAAATCTGTGCAATTGCAACAATATGTGTTGTTGCTAGGCATGGCTTGCTTGCAGCTAATATGCCCAGCTCCTTGCCACCCCAGAAAACCACAGCTAAGCCATGTTTGATTTCTGCAGCAAACAAGCACATGGAGCTTAGCAGCACCATGACAATCGCACAAAAAAGTGTCCAGATGTGCACATAGGACTCATAAGAGAATGTTGAATGCTGTGGAAACATTTCTTATGTGGTCAGCAGTAGTTGTCTGCACTTCCCTTTGAAACACAAAAAATATTTTGCTCATATCGAGAGACTAATGTGAATGCTTTAGCAATATACCCACTCACTGATGGGTTGTGGTTATGACACTGAGGTGGGGAGCTACTCTGCAGACTGCAGTGTCCTCTGGTGAAACTCAGGCTAGTTTTGAAGGAGCTAGAGGGTACCAGAAGGAGTGTAGCTGTGCTGAGAAGCAGGGCATAGGCCTGTTAGCTCTTTGCTGACAGAGCAAGGCCAGTTCTGATACCCAAAGTTGCTTGTTTAAAACCAGCTGGGGTACTCCTATGCTACACTGAACAGTGCACCATAAACACTGTAAATGCACCATCAATTTGAGATAGCCTTTCTGGCATACTCACCAGTTTGCAGTTGTGCATAATTTCACTTCTCTTCCTCCCTCCAACACATTAAACTTCTTTTAAAACTACAATTCCTTACGTATCATCTTAACAAGGAGGCCAACATTTCTTTCAAAGAGACATTACATGTAAGTTAATCCATCTCTTTTTGAGTTATTGAATATGTGGAGAGGGATGGACTAGGAAGTGTGGAATTCAGGAAGGTATCCCATAAAAGGAGGGATTACCTTTGCTGGTTTTAGCTAGAAACTTAGCCTGAAGTCTCTTTCTCTGTGAACAGCTTGGCCACCCATCTGTTGAACAAGTGGTTTTCTTCTCAGCATAGTTCTGAGATCTGTAACGTTCAGATTACTCCTTTTCCTTAGGAGGATTGGTGCCAGATCCTGCACCCAGCTCTGTGTCCCAGTAGCATAACTGAGGGGGGCAAATGAGGCTTCTGTCATGGTTGTCACCCTTTGGGGTCCTGCAAAAATAGCTATTGCAAATGGCGTCGCAGGTGCTGCTCCAGGGTGCAGATCTGCCCTGTTACACCTTTGCCAGGTGTATTTACATAAGACATTTACAGTGCAGTAGACTAATTAGCTCTGCAGTAAATGTTTCAGCATCTACATGTGCAGGGCTATTAGGCTGGAGTAAACTAAGAAACTCTGCAGCAAGGTAGTACTTGTATAGTACTATCCTGCTGTGGAGTTTTTTACTCTGTAGAAGCATGTGTGTCTATGTTGATGTGATTGGTTGTCTATATGTGCAAATACTCCAGGAGCAGTTTACTCTGGAGTAAAGTACTCTAAAGTAAACTCTTCTGGGCATGCATCTACACATGCAGGGATGCAGGAGAAGATTTGCTGCTCCAAGCAGCAGAGTATTCCCACTCCCTGCTGCCGTGCACCAGGCCCTGAAGCAGCCAGGGGGAGCTCTAGGCTCCTTCTGGGTGGTAGCCCAGGGGCTGGCAGGGAGCATGGGGCCAGGAGACAGCCATCTCCTGGTGGGGGGTGGGACATTTCTCCCTGGCCCCGAGAGCTGCATGCTGCCAGACCAGGCTCTGCTACTGGAGACCAAGAGAGGACAATGTCCCCCTGCCTTGGCAGCAGGGAGCTCCCAGCCCCTGCTCTGCAATTGCAGGCATCTCCTGAGGTCAGGGAACAATAACTCACCCCCGTGTTGCCCAGCTGACTGGAAGCACATTTGCTTCCAGTCAGGCACCTACAAGTATGCTACGGAGCAGTAAGTAATCAAGAGTAAAATTTGCTACTTGCATTTGCAGGTAGCAAATGTACTCATAATTAGAGCAAATTACTGTGCAATAAGCATCTGCACTTGTAGACAGTGACGCTTATTACACACTAATTAACTGTAATTTTGAGTAAAGCGTCTCGTGTAGATGCATGCAAGGGTACTTCAGTGCAGGGACTGCCTGCCGGCTAGCCATACACTGGAGCACTCACGTACCTCAGCCAGCCCCTCCACAGCATGTTGAGCTGGGCAGGAGCAACTCCAGGCTAGCAAGCTGGCCTTTGGGGCCCCCTGCCAATCGGGGCTTCTCTGACCCAGCTCAATGTGCTGTGGTCCCAGGCACATGTTCAAATGGCATGCCCAGGAGAAATAAACTCTGGAGCAATTAGCTCCAGAGTTTATTTCTTCACATTAACTGCATGCGTAGACACACCTGCTGTGTTCATACTAGCCCACTCCAAGCATCCAGAAGCACTGTTAAGAGGAGGCAGACCACATCTTCTGCTGTAACTCTGACCTGGTGGTCTTGGTACTTATTCCTGGTCTGCTCCCTCCAGAGTCAGAAATCAGCTTCCCTCTAGGGGGTATAAGCCAGTAGCTGACTCAGTTCTTTGATGAATTCAGGACATTTTAAATAAAAGCATGTTTTTTAGCAACTCTATAGGGAAAAAAGAAGGGAAAAAGGAAGGTGTAAGGCTGGTTCATCAAGTCCTAAGTTTACGGGAGCGTAAGCTAGGATGAAGTTACATGTTATACTTAGGCTATACTAAGGGCATTTAAAATGAGAGTATCCACACATTAAAACTTGTTAACTAATATGAACTGCTCTCTGAGAATCTCAAAGTTATGTCACTGCAGGTGAGGGTTAACTCTGGACCGTGCTACCTAGCTAATGTTAGGGTAACCAGTCTGCTGCACAGAGCTAAAACAAGCCATTTGAAGTCCTCCAGCATCCCAGGATGCAGCACTCCCAGCCCCTTCCACCCAAAGCAGGAATAGAGCCCACATGTCCTGGCTCCTAGCCAGGCGTCTGCTCACCAGCCCATAGCAGCAAGTCAAAGCTGTGCAGTCAAGAAATGGTATTACCCCTTCATGTGCAACTTCTCACAGCACATTCTAACTTCAACACTGCTTAACCTTCCACAGCTTTACTAAAGTCTAAGTTGCACCAACTTAAATTCTCCCTTATTTCCTAGCTGACCTCTGATTTGAGTCCATTAAGCACATTTTATGAGTGTTCTTCTGGAGCTGGAGATGAGAAATGGCCATGAAGGCTCACACTTTCTTTCTCCTTTTTCTGTTATGGTTCGTTGACTTCCTGGGCTCCCTAATCTCTGAAAACAAAAAACTACACAATGAGAGAAGACTGGCAGAAACTGCAAATGAAGCCCATGGTTTTCATTCTACTTTTGTTGTCCTCATCTCATATCTTCTAGCACACAACAATATATCGATACAGACACTGCTTTTTTCAAGGGAGGCTGGAGAAAGGGCAGATCAAGAACTACCTGTCTCATGTTATGTGGTCTTACTTGTATCTTCTCTTTCTGTAAAACAGGAACTGTTAGCAGACATCACATACTTGAACAGCAAAGGTTTTTACATCAGCTTCCTTGAAATCCATATATTTCAGGGATGGCAGAACTGCATTGTGAATTGCATTGTCCTTCAGTAAACCAGCTGCAAGAGGGGAAAACGACAGGCCTCATCCTCCTGAGCCTTTGGAAGGGTAGGGTAGTAGCTAGTCTGTCTTTTACCCATGACAGGCCTTTGTGGCACAAGGATAACTGGCCACAGTAGTAGCAGAAAGACCTATGTTAGCATTAAATGCTTAATGCAACTCACTGATCTCTTTCAAGGAGATTTTATTGGTCTGAATTGGTTCTAGGGTGGTGTTTTTGGAACTTCATTTTGATCTTCTGAATCTAATTAACAGAAAAAGGGGATGGTTTTTTCTGTCATCGTAACAAAATTCCCTTGTACGTCTTACAAATGCACAAGGACAGGAAGCCTCGATAAGGCGCTCTGCTCACAGATGGCTATTTTGAATCACCTCCTACTGTGCATTTCAAGTGTAGCCACTGTTGGGTGTTTTGCGTTACCTTCTCTGAAGCCTTTTCTCCACAGCCTGTGGTTTGCATTGCGTAGTCTGAGTTCCTCTTCCCCCCTGAAAGTGCTCTCCCCTCTTCAACTCCACTCCCTACCCCAAGTGCTCTGCTTCAGCAGTTGCATTTCTGCAGCTGTGCCTGATTTGTGAGCAAGTGACAGAGCCAGCCGTACCTCACAGCCAGCATGGGTTGCCTTCTTTTCCTGGGTCAGATGCTCATGTACATGGTCAGAATCTTCATCCTGCCTGTTTCAGGTACTGTCCTAGCAGTCCAGTCACTTATGGCTCCGTGCAAGTGAGAGCAAGGACCTATGAGCCAGGACACCTGTGTCCTAGCCCTAGAGCTGCCAATCATTTGCCGCGTAAGCTTGCACAAGTGAACTGAGAGCTCTGTGCCTCACTGGGCCAGCTGGAATTGGGCAGAAAGAAGACTGAGAAATGTACTATTTTTTGGTGTTGGGTCTCTTTTCTTTTGTTCTTCAGTTGCTTTCTTTTTCTTTTTTAATTTTAGCGTTACTCATTATAGGATTGCATTAAAAGAATATAGCCATGGGGCTGGCTGTATCCCAGCCATTGTTGGAATTAATGACATCCCACTCCAGCTATTGGAAAACAGGTCGTTTCAAATTAACTTGATATTTTTGATGGAATTTTTTGGGTGGCTCATGGTAATTATATTGATAAAATAGACTCGCCCAAGGCATTTGGCATAGGACCAAGTGATATTTTGGTTGAGAAATTAGAAATCTAGAAAATCAACATGACCATGAATTAAATGGATTAAAACCTGGGCAGCTGATGGATCACAAAATGTAAATTGCTTCTCAGCCTTATGCTTTAGTAATGGTATGGAAGAGAACCTAAGTAAAAATTACTGACAAAGCATGCAGATGGCCAAGAGACTGGGGGAGCAGTAATTAATGTAAAGGGCAAGAGACCGACAGAGTGATCTGAATTAGTTTGTAAATGGGATGCAAGCAAACAAGATGTGTTTCAGTATGCCCAAATGTAGTAGATACATCTAGGCTATACCTGCAGGAAGAGACCATCCAAAAAATTTGGTTTCTCCAAATTTCTATAGCAAAGAAGACAGGATAATTTCAGTATGGGTTTTAATATGAGTGTGTGTGTGTCTGAAACTTCCAGGGAGCTTTGCTTGTAGGAAGTGCTTATGAAGCCATAGAAGAGCATCCAGTCTCTTGTTAGCACTCAGTCCTGGGCTTCTGTTCCTAAATTCCACAAACCACATCCCTGCTATCCTATGCCCATCTTTACTTCATGTAAAAGAGTCACTTTTCCCCCTCAGTTATATTTCTTTTCTGATGGATTTTTGATTCTTTCCTGAGAGTACAAGGACTGTGGTTAAGCAGAACCAACTTTCCTTCTCTAGACTGCAATCTTATCCTGACAGTAATTCTGGTTTGCTCTTTTTCCAAAAGGCGCAGCTGAGAATATCCTAACAGCTGGGAATATTTCGGCATCTGAAAACAGCAATGTCACCTTGCAGTGTCACCTGTCCATGACCAACATCACTGTGTCACTGGTAACCTGGGACCAGTGCAACCAGGTCCAGCTTGCAGTTTACCTAAACAAAGACACAGGCCGTGTCCAGCCAGCTTTCATGGACAAGATATCACTGGCAGCAGAGTATGGGATCATTGTTCACTTACTGGGAGTCAATGATACAGGGGATTACTGCTGTAAGTTTCACACCTTCCCTGATGGGCTATATGAAGGCAGAGTGTCTCTGGAAATGACAGGTGAGTCCATGAAAGCCCTGATAATTCAGATTTATGGAGGATGGGTCTAATATTCAAAAGTGACTTAGGCTCAGGTCCACAAAGATATTGAGGTACTCTATGTACCCAGGCCTTAGAGCAGGTCTACACAGCGCAAAGACAGCACTAGTAGGAAGCTATAAGTTCTGCGGGCTCTAGCTCCTGACTTGAGATCTGAAGAGTGGTTATATTAACCTCTAATGCACCAAGCTAAGCTGGGATAATCAGCAGGGTGCCACATTGTACCTTCAAGTGATATCCTTAGGCCCTTTACAAAATGGACTGTGGCCCCTACATCTCTTTTTAAGGCCGTTTGAAATAATTTTACTATCTATCTATAACTGAAGAGTTAGCACCATCCAAAATACCATCTTTCTTTCCTTGAAGATAACATATTTTTCAGGGGATCACGCCAGAAGTTGTATATATTTAACATGTGTGTAGGTGTGCGTCAGTGGCCTCTACTGGTCTTAGAAAGACTTTCTGGTAGGTACAGCATTTAGCAGAAGTACCCCTTCTCACTGAGCAGCTCTGCTTACATGGCCATTTGACTTCTTAACGTACTAGCCTTAGTTTGATGCAGTCCAGCTTAGATTATTATATGTGTGGACCATTTATGTTCATCTCTTATTATCTCAAAACTGAAGGGAGAACCTCAGTGCTGAGGACTTGATAGTTTAAGATGAAATCCATTGGAGGAATAAGACATAGGGCAATTCCTTATAGTTAACGGTGTTACTTCTGTGTGTAGTAGGTGGGGGGACTACGTGTCTCATAAACAACTCTCTTTAATGCATGTTTGCCTAATTTCAGCATCACCAAAGGAGACTGCCCTTGGGAATATCCTTCCATATGTAATCATCTGGCTGATAGTGGGAGTTTTCCTCATAACATGTTTCATAGTCTGGATCCTCAAGAGGAAGGTACTGATGACTAAGGGCCCTAGAGCCTCTTTGATCCCTCACCACTGTTTTTTAATGCCTTTTGAACTTTTAGTCACATAGAGTGGGATTAAACACTGAGATACAGGGTATCTATTCTTGATGAGCAACACAGAACTTTCTGAGACCCATTTTTCCTAAATTCAGCAATCAATGAGCATTACTTATTGCTCTTGTGAATGTGGTGACCTCTAACCAAACCTTTTCCCCCACAGCTTTGGGTGCTTTCCTGACTAGCTGCATTTAGGTCCTATGCTGAAAAATCTCCACAGTGTAGGCAACTAGTTATCTCAGAGTCCTGGTAATTTGGCACACAGCTGAGCATATGGCTATTGCTATGGGCCGTGATCCTTCTTAGCTGAGGATATGGACACCAATGACCACCCAGGTACTCTGGGGTTGAGTGTGAGAGAACTGCTTGTGTTACCCATCTCTTGACTGTGTGTAGAGTGCCCTGGATCCTGCTCCCAGTCCCATAGCTGAATGTGAAAGCACATTATACATCCTCTTGCCAAGGGTGATTCAGGTTCCCACCAGGGCTGAGTGAGAGGGAAGCTTCTCAGAGCCGGCTGAGTGTAGGTGTGTGTATCATGTTCCCCTTTCCTTCCAGCCCTTTGCTAAGAGTACGTTTCAGACTCCACTGAAGTGAGAATGTGTCTTAGCCATTCTTCCTTGCCCTGCTCCTGTGGGAAGCTGTCTCGGGGTCTCCGCACATGCCACTAGCTAATACTAGTCCCTCTTGTCTAGGTGTGAGAGTGTATCAGTTTCCCTCATCCCCTAAGTGTAAGGCCTCATCTTATGGGGCCCACAATATCTTTGCTACTAGTTAGGAGGGATCAGCTTTCCTTCAGTGAGTCTTTTTTCCCAGCAGAGTGGAGGGCATGTCTAACAGATCTCCTCCTCACCAGCTAAGGGAGAGGTTTCTTCTTATGGGTCCTCCACCACACCTAGTGTGAGGGAACATCTTAGGGCCTCTCCACTCCCGTTCTTCTGCTTACTTCTCCAACACAATGCTTCCTCAACTCTCCCCTGGGGAAAAAAAGGTGCAGTAATGGTTACAACCCCATGTATGAATCCTGCCCAGACTCCATGGGGGTTTGGACCTGCATGCAAGGCTCTCCTGAGGATGAGTGCAGCCAGCTTGCCAGTTCTGGAGCCTGAAGTCCTCTGATCGGCACAGTCTGAGCAGCAGTTGGGAAACATTTCTTTGGGCATGGCCATTAGATCTGCTTTAAAATGGTTAGGATATGAACTTTAGTGGCTTTTCTTTGTTTTGTAGGAAAAACCAAAGATCCACATGCCTCCCCGAATTATGCACAAAGGCTTCTTGAAAAGCAGCCAGCATGATAACTACTCACAGGGCCCCATCAGAGCCAGCGTGGCACAGGAGGTGGTGGCCTCCACCAGCAGCATGCGTACTCAGGAGGATTCGGATGGCAGCCACGAATATTTCAACGTCCTTCAATACAAAAGCCACAAGAACAGCAGCATGAGTGCTGTGGTACAAATACACTAATGGGGAGAGGACAAGTGTTTGGCTTTAGAGAGATGCTACTTTCCTATACCTGACCTCAATGTCTATTTTTCCTTCTCTCAAGGTCTATAAAACTGCTTTGGAAAGAGGAAGAGGGGTGGGGAGGATGGGTGTGAATGTTGCAGGATGTACAGTGAGCTATTGATAGATAGTAAGTTCTGAGGTGGGACTAGGTGGACTAGAAGTGGACCTTTTACCTTCTTCAAAATCCACCCCAGGCTGCTTGTGACCAGAAGCTGTTACTGATTGGACTCCATGGGGGTGTCAGACCGGTTTCTATAAGAACAAATCATTACAACTGAGGGAAAAAAATGGCTCAGCTGAAAGGCCACATCGTGATTGAGTTGCACACCTTAAATTTTCTTCTCACCCCAGGATATGCTGTCTCTGGGCAGGGCTGAATCACACTAGCGGAAGAACGTCTATGGGAATGGTGCTGGGATGCTGCTTGGACTTATCTGAGGGATACAGGACATCAGTCTCCAGAACCTAACAGCCTGATCCCATTTGCCCTTGGTAGGATCAAGTATGAAAAGGCTGTGGGGTACTGTGCCACTTGTTTTTTTGAAACTCGGGAACTTGGAGCCTGAAGAAGAATGGGTAAGAGCTTTTGACCCCCACAGTGTCTTGTCAGTGGATGACAATTCTCAGGGTGAGAACAACTGGGACAAATCACTGGACCAGTGCACTATCAATGGAGAACAGCTTGCTGAATTTACATTATTCTGAGGAAAACACTTCCTGGATGTGCTTGTGACTGACAGAGGAAAGTTTCATAGTTGGTATGATAATGATTCTCCAAGGCATTTCTGTGTGCTGGGGCAAGATCTCCTCTTCTATCAGTGAGGCTGCTTTGCTAGGACTGTGGGGACAACCCACATACATCATATTGGAGGAGAATGTCACTGATACAGCCTGAATGAAAAAAAAAAGAAATATTTTTTTCCAAAGATTTTTTAATCCTTCCAAGGCAAAAGTCCTAAGGATGGTGGGGTGCTACCTGTAATAGGTGGATGTCTAGATAGGGATACCTTTCTTCCTCATATTCATATTGGACTCTTAGCATAGTGCAGAGCTGGGTACCCTCCGAGATGGCTCTGGCAGTGATGCTGGAGGCCAGTTTTGTTGTTAAGTGGTAGCAGACTGGACTTAGGCTGTTAAAAAAAAGCAAAAATGTTCAGAAAAGGGGGAGTTAAGCGATGGCAGGGCTTCTGCTCTCAGCTCCTGCTCGGCCTTCCAGTAGTTCCTTAAAGTCTGGCAGTCATGCTTATCACTTTTTTAACTTGTAGCAGCTGTCTCTGTCTTAAGGTCAAATTTGACCATGAGATTCACTCTCTGTTCACTTTTGCCTTATCCTGAGAGTTGGTCTGTGCAAACTATCAAGCCAAGAGATTACAACTCAGGACAGAGCCATAACAACTGACCTGTATGGTGGGGAGAGGGTTGGGAATATAGAACAATAAAAGGTATTGCAAGTTAGGATGCCTTCGCACTATCAACATGGGTTCCAGGGAAGGTTAAGCAGGAACCCAGGAGAAAAAGGCACTGGCAGAGCTGTGGGGGGAAGTGAGAGCGCTGCAGCCAAGGATCATTATAGGCTGTTCTTGTAATAGAGTTATATAGTATTATGTTGACCAAAAAGTTGTCTCCTATTTAAGATGACTCTTCCTTGCTATAAACAGTAACCCTATGGTGGTTCCCTTTTTCCATTCTATACTTTCCTCTAGTGTCTGCAGAATCATGTTGATTTACATTTCAAATTCAGATCAGCAGCTACAGTGTCTTGTGCCTAATGTGAGTCATGTCACCCAAATACTAGTGGGTTCTGCTTGACACAATAAGCCAGGCCTCTTGGGGCAGATTTCTATTTCACTTTACGCACCCAAATCAATTGCCTAGCTGTGTAACTGATATTTTTGGCACTTACGCACAGTGTACAATCCAACTCCTCACACATGTAGTAAGAGTATGAGCCATGCAAGCTGGCCGGACAGGTTTGCAGCTCCATGTGTATGTACCTGAGCATAAGTCCTGAAATTGGGGTCAGCAAAAAACGAGGAGAAAGCTCTCCTATGTTTTAGCGTAATATCCAAGTGGTTAGAGTATTTGTTCATGTAGTGGAAGACCTAGGTTCTCAGCCATCTCCTCCAAAGTGGTTTGACCCTGCATTTTTTTGAGCAGTGCTCTAAACACCAGGCCACAGGTGAAGTATTATTTGATCTATTCTCCAGCCCTCCTTTTGAAGCTGAATCACTGCACCTTCCATTTTAAGTCACTGAATGGAGACCAGTGCAGTGAGGAAATTTCTGCCCCCCTGCACTGTTGTGGGGTAGAAGGCTCTACCAGGGGTGGGCAGTTATTTCAGCTGGAGGGCCACTCATTGAGTTTTGGGGACCTGTCAAAGGCCACATCCATCTCTTTCTCTATGCCTGTTTTCCTCCTCTTCATCTGTCTCATTTTGTTTCATTTCATCTCTTCTCTCTGTCTCCCCTTCCCTTCACAACCTGGCTGGAGCTGCAGTTTGCCAGGAGCCCTGATGTTCAGCTGTGGACCCAGATGAGGACTTCCACTGCTGCCAGTGGGTGGTGGCATCAGCTGTGGGCACAGCCAGTAGGTTCTGGAGACCTGACACGGACCCCGCCAGCAGTGTCCACAGCTGACCCTGCCTCCTGCCTGGCATGGCAGACACTTCTGCCTGGGTCCACGACTGATGCTGGTGGCAGGTTTCAGGTCGGGGCTCCAGGTGGGAGCTTCCGCTGCGCTGGGAGGCTAACATTGTCAGCTGTTGGACACCACTGGCAAGTTCTCCACTGGGGCTCCTGAACCTGCTGGTAGCATCCACAGCTAACACCACTGCCCACCCACTGCAACAGAAGCCCTGCTTGGGTCCACAGCCAATGCTGCCACATCAAGGGCTGATGCTGCTGGGCTGAAGCAGTCCCACCTGCCTGCCTGCCTGGCACCATATGGTGGCTGGAACCACTGGCCACTCATGGGCCAGATTCAGTGAATTGGTGGCCATCCACCCATGGCCACATCAAATCTGTCTGTGGGCCAGATCCGGCCTGTGGGTTGCATTTTGCCCACTCTTGATGTAAATTATAACCTAGGGCCTGCTTTCTTCCAGATGGCTCTCATCTCACTGAGCTATGCATCCTATAGATTGCTCTTTTCCTCCCAGCCCTGCACATCTCCCTCTCTTGGCTGCCGAGGGGCCCAGCTTCAAAAGGAGTAAAGAGGGAGGAACTGAATAATATCTCAGCTGTGGTCTGGTGGTTTGAGGACCATGCTAGGTAGCTGGAGAGATACAAGTTGAAACCCTCTCTGGGTCAGAGGGATCCTTGAATCTGGATCTCATTTCCTTAGCAACACCAGGCTTGTGTGAGTCTAACCCTCTCGCTACCCCCCTGGAGTCAGATGTTGCTGTGTCACCATGCAGTCACCACAATGGTAAGTTTCTAGACAGATCTTGCAGCATGGAGAACTCCATTGAAATCAGTGCTGTTTTGCACCATGGATTCCTGAACCACAGCCTCACCATCCCTTCAGGATGGTAAGAAGCAGAGCTGGAAGGGATTTCCATAGGTCATCTAGTCCAACCCCTGCCTGAGGCAGGATCACCCCTATCCAAACCATCCTGTACACATCCACAATCTAACCTCTTCATAAAACTACCATCAACCCTAACACAACACAAGACCTAATACTCTAATCTGCCACAGGTAAAGAAGGGGGACCAGAGCAGGCAACATCCTGCTTCTGTAAAAGGTTGTGCCTGACCCCAAATATGGTGACTGGTCTGACCCTGGGCAAGCCTGTCTGTCCAGGAACCTCTGGGTTTAAGTCCCAGCAGGAGTACTGGTGCACCCCAGTCAAAGTCCCCAGCCTTGGCTGCAGCCGACTCCCACTGCCTCTGAGGGAGGCTTAAAAAACAAATCCTGACACATGTAGCAGAAAGAGGTGAGGGTGTGGTGGGGCAAATTCCCCTTTTGGGGAATTACTTACCATCATCTAGGAGGAAAAGAAAGCTGCAGACACGCTGGCCAAGTTCTTTTTACTTTTTTTTAATTATTCCTTCATATTCAAACTTCACAAACAGTGTGAACTTGTACAATACCTCAGAAAGTGAAACTTACAAAAAAAGTGCTGGTAACATTAAAAAAAAAAACAAAAAACAAACATCATTCTTAGCAACATCAATTACTCTTCCACACAAAACAGAAACCTTGTAAAATTTATTTCCGTATTTTTTAAGGCGTAATACTTCCGTATAAAGTATATGCAAGAGATAAAACTTCACAGTATTCCAAAATGTCACAATAATAATAATAATAATAATAATATAGTATAATGAAGCGCTACAGTTAATTTTCTTTTTTTTTTTTAATTTTTTTTTCCTGTTTTAAATAACAAATACAAGTCACAGGTAAATATACGTGAGAAAAATACGAGGCTAATATTAAATGGCAGGTAAGGATACTCTCACTGTAAGAAAAAACTGGCAGGATGTGTGTATTTATTCTATATTTTAAAGCACTTGATAGAAAAGGCGTATGCAAGGTTTTTTTTTTAAACAATTTTCTGTTTGCTTGTTTAATAACTGACATACCATTTACAGAGTATAATGAGAGAAAAAAAAGGAACTCAATAACCCCTCAAAACTTTTGACCTGCTCTTCATATCTTCACAAACCATGTCTCTGAGAGAGATATCTGGATAGGGATGTGTGTGGATGCGTGTGTGTGTGTATAAAAACAGATATAGGAACACACACTGATAAGGGTCTCTCAACCCATTTGACACCAAATCCGCAAGTCTCTATTCTGGCAAAACTGCCGCAGAAATCAATGTGGCAGAATTTTTTTTTCTTTTTGCCTGCATAAAAACTGTGGGATTTAGGTCTGAGAAGTTTCCCATTCACTCGGCTCTGAATGATTGTTGTGAATTTCTTTTCCCTAGTAAGCAAATGTCGCTCCCTCCTT